AAATTTAAACTTATAATGGTGTCAAAGAAACAATGACTATGACATCCTGACTAGGAGAAGCAAACAATAGGTCATTATATTTAGCAGCAGCTTAACTAATTGCTGCATTCTGATTTATAGCTAGGTAAGACTGGAAATTAATCATTATCTTTGAATGTGTGATAAATGCATTGCATATCCTTTTTCTTCCTTAGAAATTTTTTCTTAAGATTTTTGAGTTGCAAGATCAGATCCAAGCAGAAATAATTAGTTTTGAGTGGAGCTGGGCAGTAACCTCTTTTCCCATCCCAAAGGAATTGCTGCGCTTTTGAAACTTTCCATTCTCAAATTCAAACAAAGAGTGTTTTCACGTGCCATCTCTGCCTCTTCTGTTGCAAAAGTCTGGATCAGCACAGCTGTAGCATTTTTCATTATTTTCACCTTTTAAAACAAATATTTTAGGTTTGATAGAGTTATTTTGACATGAAAAGCAAATATGTATGTTCGAAGAATTAAAACATAAAATATTATTTATTTTCTTTTTTCCCCAAATTAATAATTTCTTTAAATTGACCCTTTCCTGCAATGAATATTCATTTCAACATATTAATCTCTCCACAGAAAAATTCCTGACAATCTCTTGGTATTGTAAGTTTCTAATTTTTTCCTATTTCTATTCTTCCATAGGTTCCACATGTCTGCTGAAGAGACTGGGTGCAATGGGAGTGGAACAGAATCTGTAAGAACTTTGCCTAGTTTTAATTCTTAGCTGCAAAGCAATTTTAAGTTAAACATTGGTCTGTTGCTTCTGCTAGGCAAGATAAACCAGAGGAGAAGTGAAAAGCACAAGCTTTGGTTGTTTAACTGAAGCAGACCAAAGTAGATACCAGTTTTGCTGACAAGAAGCGTCAGTTCTGTACTAAGGAATGAATTTATACAGCACTTATCACTACTAGACCAAAATCACTTGAACTTATGACAGTTTCAATTTGTATCAGCCTTTGAATATGTGCATATGTCAACGCAATGAGACTGTTATGTTACACAGGATAGCCTTAATAGTTGTCATTTTCCAAAGGTGTCCTTCAGGGATACTTGAATGACTGAATATTTTGAGAGGAGTGGGGATGTTCTTTGTTCTCTCTCCCCTTTTTTTTTTCTTTTAATTATTTTTTAAATAATTAGTAACAAAAAGTAGACATGGTAAATGATTGGTGAAAAGTTGGACAATTAGTAGTTTAGAATCAGTGGGTCAAATGATGCTGAGGCTGAAAGCCTTTGGCTCCATAGGAAAAGTGAGCACTATGAAAACAGCCGCCAAATGATGAAGGTTTTGATTGTGTGTGGAGCATGTTCTTTCAGCAGTGACAACGGCTATGTTTCAGATAGGAAACAAACTCATAGGACCCCCTTATTTATTGGGGGAAAAAAAAAAAACAACCACCCCAACCAAAGCAGTTGTTGGAAGAGAACTGTTGAAAGGAAACATCTGGAGGAAATGCCAGTCCAATTTCAATCTTGTCTTCAGGGTACCATAACTTACATTTTCCAGGATGTGATACTGTGCTTCATCAGACAACATCACAATGAGATCATACCTCTGAATATGGACTGCAGGCCACCTTTATGAAGCATGGTAATCATTATGTCTGATTCTGCTTCCTGACAGAGTATATTAGAAATATTTCTCATCCATTGGTCATTTCTTTGATGCTAGCATGGAATCCTAGATATGCCCCAAAACAATTACTTGACAAACTTGGAATCTATGTGAGGATGGAAGCAGGCATCTCTAACCAGGAGCCAGCCCTGAGTTGTCAACAGAGATGCAGAGAAAAGCCTAAGACAAGCCACAACTAAATCCAGGGCAAAATTATCATAAGAAGGAATTATGGTAGAAGGCAGTGGAAATTCAGTGATTTTGGATAGCCATACGCAATGTGAGACTTCTGGAATTTTTCAGAGGTGATGAAAAAAAAGACTTTGTTCTAGCTTGTTATGTATGTTATATATGTATATTAATATTATTCTAGCACTCCTTCCATGGATGCTTCTAGTATGAGTACAAAAAACATCCATTCCCCATAATACGTCTACATGGATTTATTAACCTCTTTAAAAATTAGGGAAAACAAAAACTTTCTGGCAAGCTATCAGAGCTCTAATTGTTAAAATGTTGACTTAAAATGTCCTTGGAACTGGCATTACCTTCCTAAGTAGTTATTTGCTAGCTGTGTATCTATGATTTCATAGTAATCAGGTCCAATAAAATTTAGACCCTCACATTTTAAATGTAAGGAATTTTTGTTGGCTTGCAGAAACAAGACCACTCTGAGTATCTCTGCTGTGTAGTCTGCAAGAGAGGTTTTTTTAAAGTTACAGCCTCATATTCAAGAAAAATGTAGGCATATTGAGACTAGGCAGAAAACGAAGTATACAGAGGATATACTATTAAGAGTTCATCCACTTACAGGTAAACTGAATTGTCCTGGTTCCTGTTTTTTGCTGAAGTAGGCTGCGTCTATTTACCTTTTGGCTTTTTTTTTTTCTGCATAGTGATCTACATAATAGGCACCATAAACAATTAGTTACAAGTTGTTGCTACAAAACCTGTAATGAAATGAAACAATTAGCTGCTGTTCAACTTAGAGAAGTTTCTCTGAGTTGTCTTGGCTCTGTTTTAGAGTGGTACATGTAGTAGCTTAAAATATTTTTGGTTTTAGGCTTTGATTTTGACATGTCCTAATTCTCAATTGCTTTCTGAATTGCTGTAATCATAGCTGGATGTATTTGAAATGTATGTAGCCTTTTGTGCACTTGCAAACTCTACAGACTCAACACCCAAAATATATGTATGAGCTATGTACATATGTATTTTAATCTCATATGCCCATGGATATATCTTCTGTTGCAAAATGAACCTGGAGCATTCATAGCATACTCTTATGCTCTTCCATTAACTTATTCTAAAAACTTACACACCCTGTGTACATAGGGATCAGGCCTGAAAAAAGGTATTCTGCTTTTTCAGTGAGTGCTTATCATACCTGAGCAGGTGCCCTACAGTCTGGCCTGTAATGAGAAAGAGAATGCATTGCTTTGCCTATTTTCAAAGAATATTGATATTCAGCTCTTTGTTGCTAAAATACATCACTCCCAAAACAACTGTGTGTTACAGCAACACAATAAACAACTTGGTTTAACAAACAAAAGCTTTGGCAAAAGAGCCTTCTTAAAAAACCAATATTAGAATTCTAAGACATCAGTGATTTCCTAAGGATGGACTAAGATCTACCATGGTTTTTCCTTCTAATGAGACAGTATTTCCAAAAGTCAAGGAAAGGCCGTATGTCTGTCTTCCACATAGTTGTGGTTTGCCTCCAACTAAACATGATAATCGTCCTTTTTGTGGGAGAGAACCGTAAAGACATGTGTATCAGTTATTTTATGCCAAACGCATAAATGTTTATATAGGAGCAGAATGAACAGTGAAAGTGATTATATAATAACTCCAATAACACAAATGATTCAGAAAATCACTCATGCCCCGGAAGACCATGCAAGCATGTGTTCAGCTGTAGCACAGGCCTGAATTTTAGTGAACTTAAAGTTCAGCTCATACATGAATATCCTGATTAAAGACTCATTGACTGAATTTTTATAGTTTAGAGAATTGCACAGGAAATACTGAGAATATTGCCTAATTTATGAACTGAAATGTATTCCTTTTTAATTTCTAAAAAATCCTACAGAGATTTTTACATTCTAGAGAGTTGCAATAAAATGTGTTAGTGAGTTCTTTCAAAGCAGCTTTGCATGTGCGGAAAGTAGATGACTGATTTCTATAGTTTTGCTGCCTTCTATTAAATGGAGGAAACCAGTCGAGTTAATAAATAATCGAAACATGGACTGAATTGTGAAAATTTTAGGAGAATCCTAGCTTCACTGGCTTTTGGTACACCTGGGAGCAGCTTACATTTAATAGATGGTGAAATCTGCTGGTCATTTAAATGCTTAATAATCGTTGTTCTGGTTCAGACCAAGGGTCTGCCCAAGCCAATGCTGCTGTCTGCAGGGGCTGCCGAGGCAGACTGTGGCAGGGGCAGGAAAAACTGATATGATACTCCCCCACGGATACTTTCCTGATCTCAGTACCCAAAACGATTTTCCACTTAGGGTTTTCCTGGTTATGCATGAAGAATGAGCTCCTAATGTTTGTTTTGAAGCTGGTTCCCCCAGCTGTATTTGCTCTCCCTGAGCTCTTGTACCAGAGGACTCAAGGGGTAACCAGGGCCTGCATGTGTTCCCCACACTCTGCTCCCCCATTTCTTCCCTAGGTTGAAGACGTTTTGCCTAATTCGTAACTCCTCGCATGGAAGCTGTCAGGGCTTTAATGAGGACTTGTTGAAAGGTCGTTTTGGGTGTTGGTGCCCAGGTGCAGGCAGCAGGGCAGCTTCTGTGGGAGGAGGCCAGGGCTGCCTGAGCCAGACACAGCTGGCTCCAACCAGCTCCTCAAGGGACTCCCTGCAGGCTGGGCCAGTCAGCGGAGCTGGGCTAACAAAGGGCAAAATGCTGCACAGGCAGTGAGGGGGAAAAGAGTGAGAAGCAGTCCTGCGGACACCAGGGTTAGGGAAGGAGGAGGGGGAGGAGGTGCCCCAGGAGATGAAGCAGAGATTTCCCTGCAGCCTGTGGAGAGCAAAATGGCTTAATAGATATCCAGACTGAGGGTCATGGAGGACCCCACCCTGGAGCTGGTGGATATGCCCTGAAGGAATTACAGACTGTGGAGAGCCCATTCTGGAGCAGGTTATTCTTACAGGAACTGTGGCCCATGGAGAGCTGATGCTGTAGCATATTGGCCTGACAGGAACTGGCCCCTGGACAGTCTATTCTGGAGCTGGTTCTCCTGACAGAAATTCTGGCCCTGGAGAGCCCACACTGTAGCACATTTTCCTTAAGAGAACTGTGGCTCATAGAGATCCCATGCTGGGGCATATTCTCCTCACAGGAACTGAACTCACGCTGGAGCTGGTTCTCCTGACAGGGACAGTGGCCTGTGGAGAGCCCCCACTACAACACGTCCTCCTGACAGGAACTGTGGCCCTGGAGACCCCATGTTGGAGCTCATTCTCCTGACAGGAACATTGGCCTGTGGAGAGCCTGCACTACAACAGGTTCTCCTGACAGGAACAGTGAGCTGTGGAGAACCCACACTGCAACAGGTTCTCCTGACAGGAACAGTGGACCTGGAGAACCCACACTGTAGCAAGTGGTCCTGACAGGAATTACATCCATGCCGTAGCAGGTTCTCCTGACAAGAGCTGGGGCCCATGGAGAGGAACTGCAGCCCACGGAGAGGACCCACACTGGACCCAGGGCAAAATGTGAGAAGGAAGGAGAGGCAGAAAGGGACTATTATGCGCTCACAGTAACCCCGCGTTCCCCATCCCCCTTTGCACCTTTTGGGTGTGGGTGAGGAATGTAGAGGACCTGGGAATTAAGGAGGGAGGTTGAGCCAGGGAGAAAAGTGGTGGTGGTGGGGAAGGTGGTGTTTTAATTTGTCTTTGTTTCTCACTCTCCAAGACTATTTTAACTGGCATTAAATTATTTTTCCCTAAGTCAATTCTTCTTTTCCTGATGACACTAACTTGTAAGTGATGTCCCTGTCTTTATCTTGACCCACAAGATTTTCATCATACTTTCTCCCCTTATCCTGTTGGAAGAGGGAGTATGACAGAACAGCTAGGTGGGTGTCTGGCAGCCTGACAAGGTCAACTCACCACAAAGTTCCAGACCTTTTCCAATTCTACAATACAGCTTTCAGTGTAAAGGGACTAGGGCTGTAAAATTTGAGATATAATCAATATTCAGGACAATATTCAAGGTATAAGTGAATGGATTTATATAGTATCATGTAAATGTTCTCTATTTAACTCTCTTTCTTTACTAAAACTTGATCTGGCTTTTTTTTTTTTTTTTTTTTTTTTTTAAATTTTGGTGCAGCTTACCGTGAGAGTCATGATGAAAGAAGGCTTAATCAAGGTCCAGTACCTGCAGAAGAGTCAAGCTAGTTCTTCATAACTAAGTGGTAAGAAATCATACACTATTTGGTTTTTCCAGACTTTAAAGTGATGTGGAATTCTTCATATGATATATAAGCAAAGGATCCAACTCTTGGTTACACAAATATCTCCCTGGGGTTTACGGTTGTTACAAGCTCAGTATTACACCTTGTGATCTTGCCTCTGATAACCCTTCCCTACCATGTCTTCCCCATGAGAATCCTCTCTGGGCTGTACGGAGTGTTGAAAAGTTCAGAAAGGGCTGAGGATCTTGTCCTAAATATGTGAATTTGTATGAGTTTTAGATAAGGTGAGTGAAGAATCTGCAGCATAGTATTTATTACATAATTATTAGAGATATGAAAATGCATCATAATTTTAAGAACAAAGGATTTTCTTATTTTAGGCAGACTACAGTTATCTTTTTATGGTAGGTCATAATTTTAGAGCAAGTGAAAAGATGTATGAATAAAAACCCCACACCTATATTTAAGCATCATTATAAGCCATATGGGATAGCACTTAAAATTTTATATAAAAAGCTATATGGGTATTAACTTATCACTTAAGAAGAGAATGAAAATAACTGAGCCATCTCCTTTCTTGTGACACACCTGAACCACAGTTTTCTCTTTATTCTCACAGTCAAGATCATTTCATGTACACAAACTGACCATAGATGAGCATGCAGTTTGCATCATAGACATACCTGTGGGGTAATAGGACATAATATCTGCTTTGAGGAATGAGTGTTGCTTATCTAAAATTTTTTTTTCTGCTTACTGAGATCACAGAAGGCAGTTCAGAGAAAAGTAAAGCAGAATTTAAGTGTCATCACAGATGGGTAAAAATAAGATGTTGAATATGTATTTGAATATGTATTTTCTGTAGCTAAGACAAAACTGTGTGTTTCTCAGAAAAACAAATTCAGATCTAGAGCTAACAAATGCTGAACATATTCAGCAACGGGCCATGTCTCTGTAACCCTCAGTAGCCATAAATGTGTTCGGCATTTCACTTAATAATTGAGAAGATTTGCCCATACTATTTGTTATTTAAGGTTAGACTGAGTTTGAAATTCTAGCTCTTTTCACCACTAATGGAGTTTTCCCATTGTTTTCAACACGGCCACAATTGTGCCCATCTGTGTATTTGTCTGGGACTGTGTGAAGATTGAAACATAATCATTAGGTAGAATTAGATTAATGTGCTTTGTAGTGTGTGGGTTTTTTCAGGTTTTCAGGCTAATGGAAATTGATCTTCTAGTTAAAACCCCTGCAAAAATTCTGGCATATTTACTTAAAATATGATTACACAAATACTTGGCACAGCATATTAAAAATAGGTTATCTATTTAAATTAGTTTTCCTAAGATCTTTCTATTTTGAAATGACACGGTGTGTTACAATGTCTTTACTATATCGTATCAGTATCATCAACTTTCTGTTTTGTAAAAAGAAGTTACATTTTTTCTTCTTGTTAAGTAGAATGAAGTGTACTATTGTACATATCTTTCTGAACAAACTTTGTTTCTGCTATAAATGTATGGCAATTACTATGAAGAACAAGCCTGTGAACGTCCCCTCTCATGTCCCAGTGATTCATGTGTTGACAGCAAAACTTTCAAAGTCAATAGTAAAGGCCTTTGCAAACATAAAATGTATGAAAATACAGAGTTACAAAGGCAGTCAGCAGTTTTAAAACAGTAAGTTAAAGGATGAATTTGCTTGTGGTAATTTTCCAGATAATTTTGGCCATTTTGACCACTTAGTAATTTTCAAAGTTACAGCTTATCTGAAACAGTAAATAAGGCTTACATAAGCAAAGCTGACAATTGACCAAATTTTTATATATTGGAAAGCTTATGAGTTGGGTATATCTCTGCATGAATACAGTTATAGCCTTCTGAACCCAACTGGATCCTTTGCAGAGATGCCTGCATTGCTTTTCCATCTCTCTTCTTGTCTAGGTCCAGTCTTTTATTTACTTCTAGTTTTCAAAGCCAGTAATGTCTACTTTTTTTGAAATAAAAAATCCCAAGCTTAGACTTGAGTTGTATCCTTTTTCAGAAGCTTTTCGAATATTCACGTTGTGTTGGCTGCTTGTTCATTTTTTATGGTTTAGATCTTGAAAATGTCATTAAATGCAGTTTATGAAGACTGTGACATCAAATAGTTCTAGTTTTATGTATTTCTAGGGTGCCTGGTGTTTTGAAATTAAGGAAGCCATGCGTCAGTCCAGTGGCGCAATTCTGCTCCAAAAAAGATACTTGGGTCCAGTGTTCATGGTCACTCAGTTTGATATACCTATAAAGCGCTAAGTATTTTTAAAGAAATCTCTGTGGACTTTTCAACAGAAAGGGTGATCCAGTGTTACTTCTGAAATCATTAGGAGACTCCAATGTCTGTTGGACTTCAGGCTTATGGTAGGTCAATAGAGAAGAATAGAACAATCCCAAAAGCTAATGGTAGTGGAGGGCTGCTTTCCACGAGGGAAAAAGAATTATAGCTTTTCAAAAGTCTCTCTGTTTAAAGAAACAATTTGGCTGATGGAAACCTCAGTGCAAATGTTAGTGTTCCCTTGTTTTATTGGTTTGCTCTTCTAGAAACTGCTTTCTGAAATGAACTTTTCATTTTTTTCTATTAATCATTGTTTATGTCTGCTGTTAAGTATAGGCAATAGGTAATTATTCACAAGGGATATTGCTTTTCCTTCATTTTCATATTTATTTGTACAAAAGATAAAGCAAAAAGAAGTATTGGCATTAAAATTTCAGAGTCATCTGAAACATGTCATCTGGAAACAAAAACATTTCACTCATAATTATTACTTGTTTGGGGTCTGTTACTGTAATGAGTCCTTTAAGTACAGGAAGATAAATGTAGAATGTAGATATAGATGTAGCTATAGATACAGATGTATACACACACACACACACACCCATGAAAGTGAAAATATTATCCTTTAAAAGGGTTTCAGCTGGTGCCTATGCATCTTTTAAAATCTACAACATGACAAATTGTGTATTTCAACAAGAGCTATAGTCACTGAAAAGAGAGAATGCAGCAAGCACTGTGCTACTTATGAGTGGGGAAAGGCCTGTTTAAGTCTGGGGTGATATCTGAAGGATGGATTTGTAAGTGCAAAGGAAGTGTCGGGCATAGTTCCGGTATTTGGATCAAAATTGCAGCTCTGGTTCTAATCAGTTGAGCACAGGGTCTGACTTCAGTGTGTAGGAGTAAGAAACTGTTTGCCATCTTAGGCTGTAACAGCCAGCAGAGCTTATAATGAGCTGTGACTTGTAGAGAAATACACCAGAGTAAATCACGCAGATCATATATTAAAAACCTTTAAGATGCAGCAATACAGTTTGTTAGGCAGACTGCAGACTTTTATTCCACGTCTCAAAGCTAAATAGTATATGCCTGAGGGATGATGGGGGATGAGAAGTCAGTTGAGTTAGACTGATTTATGCTAGCAGAGAATCTGGTACGGTGAATTATTTCCAATCACTCCTTGAGTAGTAGATACATATCTTTATCTTTCTAAAATATTTTCCCCTCCACTGCCTCTCTTCAGCAGTGGTTGCTGACATTAAATATTTGAGAGCAGTTTTGCTGCAAGTAGGGCTAGTTTCAGTGACAGCTGAAGTTTTCCCATAAACTTATGTGGATTATGCAATTTAAATGGACAGAATTCAATCTTAGCTGCCTGTCATGTTGATCATAATCACAGTTACTTTTTAGAGAGTATTTTTGTAGTCTTTGCACATATGATCTCTGCAACTCAGAGTGTTTGCATACCACGCAGCATCTGGCTCAGTTTTTACAGGATCTTAACAGATGCAGTCAGGAACAATGTACAGCTCCCTGAAGTCTAAAAATAATTGTATTTCAGTAATGTCTTACGCTATAATCACTATCCCATACAAATACAATAATCATATAGCATTGGAAATTACTCTGAAAATCAGATGAAGTGTCCTCTGCATG